TTCTATTCCTGCTTAAGACTCTCCAATTTAGTTGATCTTTCATTTGAATATCTTAGTTTTTCAAACAAACGGAAAACAACCACACTCTTTTCCAGTCCTCTCATGTTTCTGCAATGGCCTATGAGGAATCAGAAGTTTTTCTTTGTCCCACGCTCGTGACTGGATGAAAAAACATCTTTCTATGTTTTAAAACCGTTCAATACCGCAAAAAATTCGATCAAAACCCAAAAACTGCATGTGCATGCCAAATCGCCAAAAATTTTTCACATTTAAGTCATCAAAACCCTAACCGATCCGAGACCGATACAGTGGTGACAAGTGGCGCATACAGAGGTTTTGCGGCGCGTAATTGCCGCTCAGATCGAAGAGAAACTGATACATAAACTATGAAAAAGCGACAACCACATCGAATGCTAAATCCAAAAACCCGTCAGTATTTTTAACGGAAACTGAAAACCAAATACCTAAAAACCGAAAAAACCGAGGACTTTTAGAACAAAAATTGATTGAAAAACCGCTGTAAAAAATAACCAAAACCGCAAAACTGAAAATTTCAATACCTCTCTTTGAGTGAATAACCTGAGTTTTTTATGCCAATGACAGCTCGAAGTAAGTAAAACCGGTGCAATCCTGGATATCCTTTGATACTATCTGAAAAGTACCCCATCTATTGCTCAATCTATTGCTTCAGATGGTATAATTCGGAATTCTATTAACAAGCTTCACATTTCAACTACTATTTATCACTTAACATTTCTTCTATTTACTACATACTGTGTGCCCATGGTAGCTTTCCAGATATTGCTCATTATAAGAACAAGAACATTTGTGAATGTGGCCTTCCTCTGTACCAGCAAGATACCTGCAACAAAAGTTAATCAAATTAATCTACAGTTCAAGTTTAATTTTCAGCTTGTTCCGTAGAAGAACAGTCAAGTTTGTTTTCAAAAAGTTACACCGTTCATAAAAATGTCAATTATTAATGTCCCACTCTACAAATTTCCAATAACTTGTTTTCGGGCAATTTTCTACAAGCAAATTCTAAAGCATAATTCCAACTGACTGCTGTTAAATTGAAAATTAGTGATTCCAGAATATCGTACCCCCTCGTAGCAAACGTGTCCAAAGAAGAATCCCCCTTCAAATCAGTTGTCCCAAAATTATGATCCTGTTAGACAGGAACATCAGAAAAGGGGAATATTACCGTTTGCGCGGAAACAGAAATTGACACTGTAAATAAATGCACTTACATGTTGGAGTCGTTTGGATGAACATCAAAGCAAAACCCGGCTGAAAATCTCGATATCAAAGCATCGCTCTTTTTTCCTCCTCCTTCTTTCGACTCTTTAGTGACATTTATTCGTTTTAATTTCATTAAATCTATTTAAATGAAAAAAAGCAATATCTTAATCAGCCGATTAGTATTTTCGTTGGATAATGGTGACATATCGTCAACGAAACGTCATGTATTCGGAGTTGAAAAGCTAACTGAGTTTTCACCTGTGCACTCAAATCCTTTTCTAATGGACCACTTGGTAACCCGGCCATCTGCTGAGATGGAGATCAGAATTTCGTCCCTCTCCTCACCAGTCCCCTGATCTCTATCCACCCAGCGAACCTGCCACACTGGCGACGAGTGTTTACCTTGACTCTCACTTTCCCAAAGAAAAAAAAACAACAACAATAACAAACACACAAAACAAAGTTTAAGTGCTACTGCGACCAAAAATGCACCTTTTCTTTTCTCCTCAGAGGTTGAAAGTACTTTCCCTAAGTAACAAATTTGCCAAATCTTAAGGCAAAACTCCATCGAGAAGTAATATTATTTTCTCTGTAGATTCGCGATCTAAACGGCCGCCATTCTTCGAATTACTGAATTCCGCGCGAAGAAGAAGAAACTGGGTCGAAAACGGAAGTGACGTCAACGACTCAACAAACGTGGCTAATTTAGTATGCCGAGAGAGAGTTGTTTTTCTGGTTCCGCAGGAAAGAAGGAATAAAATTCGAAAGAATTGTTCCCCAGCTTTCTTTTGCATATTTCTTGTAAAGGCATGCCCTCGCGACGTTGTCGAAGTGAGTCGATGATGTCACAACTAAAACCGCTGTAGTTATTTTCGCGGGCTCTCCAGTGTGTTATTCGAGCAATGGCGGAAGAATTTTTAATGTCTTCGCGGCGCTATTTTTAATGTCTTCGCGGCGCTGTTTTTAAGGAACGTTGACAAATTTGAGAAACTTACGCTTATTCTTATAGTTTAGGGTCTAAATGTGAAGTTAACACCAGAATATTGGGAAAATAAAATGCAAAAATTTCGTCGCAGTAGCACTTTAACATTGTTCGTAACTTCCTCATGGATCTATTTCTAGGCAAGAAGCCAAGTAAATAAATAGGAAAGTCAAGAGGAAACTTGAAGGAAAAAGATACGTTAGAATTTCGCTGCTGTATTTGTCACTGTGAAAACCTAGTTTTCTCCATGATTAGTTTTACGCGTCACCTAAGGCACAGAAAAAAAAAAATCTTGATTTGGTCGCACGTATCCTTCCGCGCAAACTATCAGTTGCAAATACTTTCTCTGAAATTTGA